GTTCATCACAAAGGTATACTGTCATGATGCTTCAGGAACAGTATAATCAACAGACACTTTTATAATTCTACCAGCATTTTCAAAAGTGGGAAAGTGTCCCCCTGCACCCAGGTGGTAGTCATATTTTTCAAAAAGCTGTTCAACTTTAACATATTAGCATGAATAGGTGGGCACCCAGCATAAAGAAAAATGGTTGATCATCAAAAGGCATTTATGTTTGGCTCTGAAATACACTGTTTGACTTAACAAAAATTTGTGTGTGTGTATCAGATTTACTCCTAATTTTGATTTTATTTTAGCTAGAAATAAAAATGAGCTTGAATTTCCAGAGCCCACAGTTGCCAGGAGCCCTCAGGAAAAGAGACCCTGCATAGGCGATTTCTCCCAAGTGTCAGACTGCCTGACTTATTCCCACCTGTACTGTTAAATGTTACAACCTACATGCTATTTTACATTTTGTAAAGGCCTTTAAATATTGTGGATGAGTTTTTATTGTTGTCGCTGTTTTTTCTTTTTTTAAAAGAAATATATTGGCTCTTTTTTAAATAAAAGTTTCCTGGAATGAAAGAACTACATCCTCAGGACAAAAATCACATTGAAAACAAAAATGGAGGCAAGCCTATTTCCCTAAAGAAATAAAGAATTTTCCAGCCAATAGCTTTTGGATTTCCATTGTCTCAAGAATGTGAATTTGGTTTGGAACTGTCCCTTCACACTGCCCTGCCCTTAACATTGCTAATGCCTGGAATTTTTCTTGGATTGAGGAAATGGATCCTAAACTATAACTAAGTCCAAAGAGTTTTTTTCTCTAAAATTGTTAACCTAAAATAAGTTTTAAATGCTTGAGGAAAGACATACTGGGTCAAATTCCATTATAATTCAGTTTGCAGGTTTTTGTTTTGTTTCTTTCAGATTTTTAACAAATTGAAATTCTGTAGGACTTAACTTTTAAATACACAAATATATAGTACACACATATATTTATATATGTACGTAAATAATTTTTCAGAAGCAAGCACTTCTCTCTGGTATGGCATTATTTGCTATGAGACATTTATCAAAACCCCGGAGGGAAGTTCTTGCCTTTTTTTTACATTATGACATCTCCCTCTGGTCCCCAGGAACACTGAGGGTGTATGTGTCTACACTTGGTTGGACCCGGGTTGAAATCTCAGGCCACGAAGGCAGCCTCTTTCAGTGTAGACATCTTCAGAGGACACCAGAGACCCAAATGCTGAGACTGGCATGTCAAAGAATCACTAACCAAACCAAGGAGGCTTTGCTCCTCAGCCCAGTCTCAGGAAGAACAAGCATTTCCATTGGCCATGTGTCACAAAGTTTCATTAAGAAATGCCCAAGTTGAAATTTGCTTTTGTCAACCCAATAGGAGCATCCCCCTGCTGAAATATGCTTTTTTCTTGGTCATTTGACAAAGGAGACATGGAGAATGAGCAAGAGACGAAGTGACACAGGGCAAAGTCAAGGAACACCCCTGGGTGGGATGAATTATTACAGCCACGGAAAGTCACCCTCTTTCTGGGGCTCCAGGCTGCTGCCTCTGCAAGGGGAGACCAACGTGGAGGGGGCAAGAAGCTGGGACCACAGACAACAGGTCTTCCAAGCAGGAATCAGGGATCCTCCCTAAACCTTGCCTTGTGTTTGCTCTCCAGGACTGAGACACCCCTACCCCCAACACTGCTGCCTCACCCCAGTGCCAGCCATGGGCTGCACACGGGCTTGTCTAAACAAACTGGTCATTACCACCCTGAGGAAACCTGATGAACCCATTGCAGCAGGAGCTGGACTTCTGCAAGAAGTCCCTTCAGTGGATCTACTCATTGAGGGGCATCTCGAACACCCCAGTGGGACAGGGCTCCTGGAGAAGACGTGTCTGGGCTGGCCTCATCTCTGTAACTGGAGGGAATGGACCACTGAGCTTCCCCAGCAGTTAGAGAAGATGAACACGCCCCTCCCCGGCCATGGTGGATGGATGTCACTCCATCCTGATCTTGGCTGAGACAGAGAACAGAGATGACTCGAAATACACATAACACTCATTTGTCCCACGGACCCATTCATCAACACGTTAAAATGCTGACACGCTTGGGCTTGACTTTCAACCTTTCCCGGGAATTTTCACAGAAATTGGAATACTCTACATCATCCACACTCTGGGATGGCATGAGAAATGAGCAAAGCTCTGAAACTGAGTACTTAAGTGATGAAGCACTTGACAAAAACAAGACGTGAATTTGAACAGCAATAACTTTGGGTTATCGCCAATATCAAGTTGAATCTATATATGTATTCATATATTATATATATCTCTTTCTTTAGAAATGCAACTTTACAGCTGATTTTTTAAAAAGCTAATAGAAAAGTAGAAACTGACAATCATTTTTACATGTCTCCCCCCACCCCCAAATGAAGCCCTGTTAGGATGTAGCGATCACATGAAGATGAGGCTTGCCAATTCCTCTATAAATTCTTTGGTTCTGTGGCTTGGGAGAGGATGCATCCCCAAGACCCCAACTCCTGACCCTCACTCTCCTTCCCTCCCCTGATGATGAAACTCTGAACACAGAAAGAACCAAGAGAAAGGGAGGGTTAAGCAAAGAACATTCAAGTGACAGTATGATTCCCCACGCTCTGCTGAGCAGAGAGAACTGCTCAGCGCCCCCAACATCTTAAAGTGGAGTTCCATGGAATCTTCTGAGAGATTCCAAGTTGGGTAGAAAGCCGTAAAACAAAATGATAGGGAAACAATAAAATCAAATAAATGACCCTTTCCTCTCGTTGCTCAGAAACAAAATTGATTACCTTTACACACAGATCAATGGCGCTATTAGTATTTAAGCCAGGCAAGAGGGGATAATGAACTGAAACAAAGGTGTGAGAAATCCTCATCTTTGGTATTGTAGCTGTTGAGGTTTCTGTTGCTCTGTTCCGTGTTCTTTTGAAAAACTGCATAGGCACAAATTAAAGACAATCTTCAACTTTTAAGATTACCGCGTGAGTCGTCGGATGAAGCAGCAGCCACGGAGGCTCTTCCTTATTTCTCTTCCTGTCTCAAACCCTTTTTAAAAATCTGCTTCCAAAAAATGTCCCAAGAGGTCTGTTCGAACACAGTGTGTCTCAATGTTTTTTCTGTTTCTGTTTTTTTTTTTTTCTGGCGTGCTTCCATCTTGGTGGTGGTGGATTTTCATGGATGTCCATTTTTCTTTATTCATTTCAATGGGACAGTTTTGTTTGTTGCAGAAGTAGGTGCAGAAAAAGTTTCTTTGGTTTCGATTAAGTAATTCATAAAAAAAGTCAGTCTCAAGTGTCTGTAAAGCATCATTGCAGCGTTTGGCTTGCTTTGAACACCCCTGTGGTGCCCACCTGGGGCCATTCACTGGTAAATATGCACATGGTGACCGTCGCAATCTCCTGGGGCCCGTGGGCCCTCCTCCACTTGCTGTGGGAAGGTGACAGCCAGGAACCAGAGAGCCCCTCGCTCCGTGGCCTGGCTAACATCCGTGGCGTAGCCGGTCCACTCGGCCCAGTGACGAGCCAAATGCGAGCGCTGAAAGCCATTTGGAGTTGCACAGGTTTTCTGACTTCTAAAAGTAATCACAGTATTTTTTTTCAGGCTAGAAAATGGCAAGTAAGAAATGTCTTTGGTTTGCAGTATTCTGCTTCTTTGGTGTGCTGTGTTTTCCTCCAGATTTATTCAGCTGTTCTGCTAGGATGATTCAATAATGGAAGAGATTCAGGACTAGATAGATGATGGTTATGAGTAACATGTTTGGTGGTTTGAATTCTTTATTTTTTTCCTTGGTAAGAAACACTGAAAACGTCCCTATTGATGCGATGGACAAGGGAACAACCCAAATCTGAAAGCGTGAGAATGTATTATGTGGTGGTCATAATGCACAATAGGAGGGACCAGGTGATGGATAACCAAGAAGGATACATTTATGATCTAAAAAAATCTAGATCTTTTAAAATGTTGCATTTGCTCCATATACCGTAGCAGTTAAATTGGCCTCCTGAGTGTGCGTTTTCATTATGTACAAACAGAATTTGTGGCAAACTGCAAAATGTGCTTGAAGCCATATTCCCAATGATTCCCTCTTGACTTCCCAATTGGTGTCTTGAAAATCCAGATGCAGTGAATCCAGAACCTCCCTCACTTCTCTATTTATCTTCGTTGTGCTTGATACTTGGTGCTCAAGTGAACTGACTTGGTTTGTTTTATTTTTTGATGGATCCAAGACCACATGAGATTTCCAGGAGGTAAGGAAAAGAAAACTGTAAACTGGATCAACTTAAAGCTTTCTAAACCGTTCAATGAAAAAAGATGCCTGAGTTGGGAAAAACAGGTCCTTGGATTTTTTTTTTTAATTTCCATATTTAAAACTTGTGCTCAGTAATTGTCATTCGGATGGTTTTTTATGTTATGGCTGTGAACGTTGGTGAACTACGGTTTGATGAAGTAAGCACTTGGAAAGCAAATGAGGTCATTCTTGTTGCTAGATTCTTCTCTTACTGTAGCATCTTGGGAACCCAAACTCAAGAGTCCTTGTACAAGCCAGAGCCCTACTATTGACTCGCAGGAACGAGGACTCCAAGAGGCCGACAGGACCCCAACTGGGATGCTGACATTCTAAGCAACCCTGCTTGGCTGACACTAGGCTGGAACTGACTTGCTCTAGGAAGGCCCCATTTGGGTTCCTGGGGTGCTTAGCACGCTCGCTCAGAGGACAATGTCCGGTTCAAAGAGATTAGTTTTCAGCTTACACGTGGACTCCATAGCCATTAAAAACAAATGAACGAAAAAGAACACCTGGCCTATGATTACAGCTAGAATAGAAGAGTTTCTTTTCAAGAGAATTGTGCTTTCCAATCACCAGTGAAGGGCCCCAGCTAAGAATCCGGTGTCTCTTTCCTCTGCGTTTTCTTTGGGTATCGGGTGTCCTCGTCGGGAGGCGACTTGTGCCCGGCCGGGAGTCCTTCCGTCACGCTTTGGTGCAAGCGCCGGAGGCGGAGGAGGCGCCGCCCGAGCTCAGGTCGTCCTGCCACTTCTCCAGGCTGCGGCGCCGGGCGTTCATGAAGAAGTTGCTGACGGTCGTGAGCTCCAGGCCCAGCTGCTGGGAAATGGTGATCTGCATCTCTTTGGACGGGCGCTTGTTCTCCTTGAAGATGGCGAAGAGCGTTCGGCGTTGGAGGTCAGTGAACACCAGGCGGGATTTCTTCTGGGAATTGTTCCTGTCCTTGTTGGGCTCTTGCTCTTTGCGTTTGCACGCTGGAAGGGGAAGAGAAGGAGCAGAGTCAGGGTGAGGCGGAGCCCCGACCCCTCCCCCCGGAGCCCCGACCCCTCCCGCCGGAGCTGACGGACTGAGAACACAGCCAGCCTCGTAGAGCGGATGTAGACCGTCAAACCTGACTGCGAATTGCCCGGCTGTCAGCAGCCAGCCTTCCCAGTTCATCTCTGGGTGATGGAAGGCATCCGTTAGTGGGGGGACGGAGGGAGGAGGAAAGAACAGAGCTGTTCTACACACTCGGGTCTTTGAACCAAATGCCGTTGCTTTCTCTTTCACCCCCGACCGCCCACCCCCACCCCCTTAAAACTGTTCATCTGTGAAATCAGGTGTTCTGAAGAAAAGGACCCCTTCCCCTGGAGGAAGCGTGGTTACCCAGTTTCTCTTTCACAGTCTCCCTCTAGAACTGCTGAGAGCTGAGCCACACGACTTTCTGGAGTCAAAACGTAAAAGTGGCGTCATTTCTCAAAATCAAACCTTCCACTCACATGACTCAAAAAGCTGTGAACAGAATGAAAGGAGTGATGGCATCATCCCAACCCCAAATCCCCTTCCTCTAGACTTTCAAAAACGTAAAAAAAAAAAAAAAAAAAAAAAACCCACATAAAATCAAACAGGGAGGGGAAGTCCATGAAAAAGTTGGTTTAACCAGTTGTAATTTGGCTGGTCGGAGGTGAAGCCAGTACATGAAGACCAGGGTTGAGGTTGGCAGAAGAACCCACATTTGCAGGGGATCAGCTTGGAGCCCGAGATATGTGAATAAGTAGAAGGAGAGTGCCTGATTCAGCAGCGAGGTCTCCCCACCGGGGCTTCCAGCACACTTCAGTATGTGTTACTGCCTCTGCTTGTCCTACAAGTTCCCGGAAGGCGGGCATCAGGTCTGCATGATGCTCCCGACGGGCTCGTTTTGGAACCGTGGACACAACTGAATGCCTGGGATACTGGGGACAAGTGGTGTCTTGACTCTTCCAGGAATGTGCACATTTCACAGATGGAGTTAACCTCTAATGCCTAGTACAGTGCATACGAGTCACAGATTTAAACACGAGAAGACTGGACAGAAACCTCAGCTCATCCAAGGTTTTTGTGTAGCCTCAAGAGCTGACTCATCGGAAAAGACTGATGCTGGGAAAGATTGAAGGCAAAAGCTGAAGAGGGTGGCAGAGGATGTGATGGTTGGATCAGACAGCATCACCGACTCAATGGACCTGAGTCTGAACAAACTCTGGGAGATAGTGAAGGACAGGGGAGCCTGGAGTGCTGCAGTCCATGGGGTCGCAAAGAGTCAGACACAACTTAGCGACTGAACAACAACAGACACAGCTAACCCAGGAAAGGCCCTCGAGGAGAGAGCAGAAGTCCAGCTCTGAGCATCCTTCCCTGAATCCGCTCCTACTGGACACTCTGGCCCCAGCTGAGCGCTCCTTGTGCTCTTCTGACGTTCCCCCAAGGCGAGCTGTCTGGAGTACTGTCTGGAAGCCTTTTCAGACTTCTCAGAGCCCTGATTTGTGAGCTTTGGGTCAGGTCATTTTTCACTCTGGATTCTGCAAGGAGAATGAGCTGTAGAGGGGGCTGCGGCGGTATGAGTGTCAGGGGAACATTCTTCAAACGTCTGGGTCTTAGGATTTAACCTGAGGACCAGCACTCAAGAGGAAAGATATTCTGGAAGCTGAACTCCCCCCGACCCAACTGGCCAGCCTCCCTGTTGGATGCCATCGGCCGTAAAGCGCTCACTCCTGAAATAAGAGAGAAGCTGTGAGAAAGGGCAGGGGCAGGAGAGCACTCCAAAAGTAAACTGTTGGGCGGCATCAGCTCTGCTAAACCCTCTCTCTCCTCCTGACTTTTGCTTCTCTTACTTCCAAAAGTAATCAGATTACCTTTGAAAATTAAACACAACACACATATGAAAGTGAAAGGCACTCGGTCCTGTCTGACTCTTTGCGACCCCATGAACTACAGATTCCACAGAATTCTCCAGGCCAGAATACTAGAGTGGGTAGCCTTTCCCTTCCACAGGGAATCTCCTCAACCCAGGGATGGAACCCAGGTCTCCTGCATCGCAGGCGGATTCTTCACCAGCTGAGCCACCGGGGAAGCCCACATATACACACCTGTAAGAAACAACTTGTTTCATTCCAAACCCAGATCTCTCGGAAAGTTTGGACTCTCAGTTAAAGGGCACTTGCCCTGCAATGGGAACTCAGAAAGGGCTGAAACGGCTCACAGTTACTCTTTTCCCATTGGAACTTCCCAGTTAAGATTTCTTCTTTGATTATCCCTGGGAGGATCTTAGACTTTTGTTGGATTTTGAATATTTACTTTAGCCTCGTTGGTAAACTTACTCTCTCCAGTGCAATCCTCTACAACCGTGCTTCTAAAGTTCAGAGTGGGGACTTCCCTGGTGGTCCACTGGTTAAGAATCCAACTGCCAATGCAGGGCACATGGGTTCGATCCCCGGTCCAGAAGTTTCCGTATGCTACACGGCAACTAAGCCTGTGTGTCACAGTTACTGAGGCCCATGTGCCCTAGAGCCTGTGCTCCACACCAAAAGACCACCTCAGTGAGAAGCCTGCACATCGCAACTAGAGAGCAGCCCCTGCTCGCCACAACCAGGGAAAGCCTGCCTGCAGCAATGGAGACCCAGTGCAGCCTAAATCAACAGATACTAAAAAAACAAAGTTGATTTGCTCAGGGATTATCTGGAAAGCTCGTTCCAACGCAGGATCTGAAGCGGTCAGCCTGGGTGGGGCATTTCCAATGAGCTTCCAGGTGATGCGACTGGCCCATATCCTGCTCCTGCCTGACCACGTCCAGTCTTCCTTGGTTCACAACCTAACATTCCAGGTTCCTGTGCAATATTGTTCTTTAAAGCATCGGCCTTGACTCTCACCACCAGACACCTCCATGACTGAGCGTCACTTCTGCTGTGGCCCCGCCGCTTCCGCTTCCTTCTCTCTGGAGCTGTCAGGAGTTGCCCTCCGCTCTCCCCCAGCAGCATACTGGACGCCTGCTGACCTCAGGGGCTCCCCTTCCGGTGTCATGTCTTTTTGTCTTTTCACGCTGCTCATGGGGTTCTCACGGCAACAATACCGGAGTGGTTTGCGTTCCCTCCTCCAGCGGACCATGTTCTGTTAGAACGCTCCACTGTGACGCATCCTTCTTGGGTGGCCCTGGATGGCATGGCTCATAGCTTCATTGAGTTATGCAAGCCCCTTTGCCACGACAAGGCTGTGATCCTTGCAGGGGAACAAGGATCTGTCTGGCCGCTAGAGTCTCAGAGGAGAACCCTGATGGAATGGAATGTTCTGGAACCGAAATGCCCGGATTCTAATATGGGCTCCTTCACCTCCAAGACATGGGATCTCAGTAAATGACACAACCTCCCAGTGCCCATCTTCCTCATCGGCATAACGGAAAGAAGGCACTCACCTCCGCAGAGGCTTCCATGAGGCCAAGCGTGCGTGTGCCGCCTTCCGTCTGGCGGGATTACCCCAGGAGTCTCAAGGTAGGTAAGTGGAAGAATTATTCTCACTTTAAAATAAAATAAGTGGAGACCTGAGGGTGTAAGTGGCTGAGCTGAGGTCACATTCCAGGCTGGCTGCAGGCCCAGGGCAGGTGTCCGGCCCTTGGGTCTCTCCACCTTCGTCCTCTACAGAAATGGCACCCACACCCCTGGCCCCTTAGAGAGAAACTGCTGCAGGGCAGCCCCGGCGGTCTGTCCCCAGAAATCCTGACTCTCACCTTGCGGGGCAGGGCTCTGGAATCTGGGGTTTCACAAACCTCTGAGGGCGCTTCTGAGACATGAGAGCCTGTGTGTGCAACCCCACGGCCACATCAGGTCCCCGGATTGCTATTCCCACCCCAGCCTCCCGGGACAAGCATGCCAAGCCCGCATCTGGAAGATTCTGAATGAACAGTAGTGCGGGGAAACTGCCTGATAACAAGATCTGGCCACATATACTCTACCCACATCGGCTGAGACCCTTGGTCAATTTGTTCTCTTTGGGTTAATCACACAGTCCTCAGCCTTCATACCAGTATTGATTATTCTTCAGATAAGGCTTTATTGGTGCCTTAAAAAAAACAATTAAGAAACTGAAGTATAGTTAATTTACAATGTTGGGTCAGTTTTAGGTATACAGAAAAGTGATTCAGTTATATATACATACATGAACACATACACACACACATATATTCTTTTTCAGATTTTTCCATTATAGGCTATTACAAGATTTTGGATATAGTTCCTTATGCTGTTCAGTAGGCCCCTGTTCTTTATTTTATATGTAGCAGTGTGTATATGTTAATGTCAAACTCCTAACTTAACTCTCCCACCCCATACCTTGCTATCCCCTTTGGTAATCATAAGTTCGTTTTCTATGTCTGTGAATGTATTTTTGTTTGTAAATAAGTTCACCTGTATCGATTTTTAGATTCCATATATAAGTACTATCAAATATTTATCTTTCTCTGACTTACTTCACTTAATATGATAATCTCTAGGTCTACCCATGTTGCTGCAAATGACACGATTTTGTTCTTTTTTATGGCTGAGTAGCATTCCATTGTGTGTGTAAATACACTTTATGTGGCACACGCGCACACACACACTTATGTATCTCACATCTTTATCCATTCATCTGTTGATGGACTTCTATGCTGTTTCCATGTCTTGGCTATAGTAAGCGGTGTTGCTATGAACACTGGAGATGCATCTATCTTTTCAAATTATGGTTTCCTCTGGGAATATGCCCAGGAGTGGGATTGCACAGTCATATGGTAACTCTATTTTTAGTTTTTTAAGGAACCTCTATACTATTCTCCATCATGGCTGTACTAATTGACATTCCCACCAACAGTGTGGTAGGGTTCCCTTGTTCCCATGCCCGCTCTAGCATTTACTACTTGTATTAATAGGCTTTTTAATGGTGGTCATTCTGACTGGTGTGGGGTGTATTTGTGCTTTTAAGACGGTACTTAGGC